GTGTGTGTGTGTGTGTTGATTGTGGGGTTTGTGTCTTCGGGGCTTTCTCTGTGACACCTATCAATTTGCATCCAGTCACTTGGCAGCAGGAAAGGCCAGCTGGTTACTGATCTGCTCGATTGTCTCGCTTCACTTTCCCTCCAGAGGGATTTCAGATGCAGCCCGGTTCATTCTCCGATGACACGCCGAGCTCTAATCCTATCATTTATTTCCGAGGGATATTCTAATACAAGATATCGCAGAGGAGCTCTTGGTCCCTGAAGTGATATCGTAGGAGTAGTAGAGTGACGTCATCAGAGGTAAAAATACCACAAAGTGTGAGACGCACTGTAAGTCCCTATGTTTGCTACACAAACACTAATTCACTATAGGGGCTTCCAGTTTGGTGTTAGAGACTAAAAGTTCTGCTAAGAATGTGATGGGATACTAATTAATTTAATCACAGGATTAATTAAACCACAGGCGTGTTTTTTTGTTTAATTAATGATTAAAAAATAATGGCTGATTTTTTTAAGTTTTAACTTGCTTTAATTTCTTGTTGCAGCTTTAATTAATTGGGGACTGATAATGTGTTATAAAGGCACATTATAGAGAAATAGCTCCTCTATAGCAGCTGGTGCATTCTCCTGTTTATGTTTAAGTTCTGTACTTTAAGGTGAGACTTTATTGATCCTATATAAAGTAATTAGCTCTCCTTTAGTCGGGTGCAGCATTAAACACACACATTAATATTCTGCACAATGAAGTCTTTTACTTCTGGTACTTTAAATATAAGTGAATGTTTTGTTCTTTTATTTCTGTAAAAGATCTGATGGTGTTATTATTATAATAACTAATAATAATAAGTAAAAGCTCTGCACACGTTTTGATTTTCAGCACCACGGACAGCGCTACATTCAACCCGGATGTTTGCATTGATTAAGAAAATAAAAGCCCATGACAAACACTGTTTTCATGCTATATTTAGGATTTGCAACTTACTGATATTTAATCTTTGCATTCATTCCTATTTTGCACTACAACTGCTGCACAACAATTTGTAAATTACGTAATAAAGTTTAATATAACCTTATCTTATATTCATTTTTGAAAACAATATAGGCGTAATAATCAACTGTAAGTGCTTGGTAATGAAAACAAAACAGAAAAAGTGAATAATTAAATGCAAATACAATCAGAATCAGAAAGTTAAAGAATTATGACATGAATGTTTTATATATTTAATATAATGGAAACAGTGGAGGGGTGAAATCAGACGTAACACATAATCTTTAAAGTTTGATGGCGGGTTTGGAAACCTTCTTGATTTTTAGTATCGTAAGAAAACTTATTTCACTCATTACTGTGAAGAAAACTAAATGAAACTGTAGTTTTTAAAGTTTAGATTATTACTTAGGATCTAAAGAAAAGAGAAACCGGTGAAGACCTGAACACAAGCTGCAGTCATAAAGCCTTCAATGTCTAATAAACAGCCTCATCCTGCATTATAAAAGTAGGTAAAACAACCAAAGAGCTAATAGAACAATGAGAAGAAAACACAGATTTTTCAAAAGAGAAGCCTATTAACTATGTATGATTGTTAATATATATATATATATATATATATATATATTAAAAAAAACATAATAGGGTGAATTAAGGGTGATTGTCCCAATTTGACGACCCATTTGAAGATGAAAGAAGGTTATATTACATTATATATATAAAGAAGTGTGGCATTTCCTTTTGGTATATTTGGGCGGTTGAGACAACACATCTTATTATTAATTTAGGCTAGTGAAAGCAAATATATCACACAATTACATTTTTTTTTTTAAATGAGGAAAACTCATCTCTGATTAATATTCACAGGACATAATCAGCTTTAAATCAATCCAAATCATTAGTTTTACACAAACTTCCTGCAGTTATTGTGTTCACCTGTCAAAAAAAGGTTGTAAACCACTAATACAACATAAATCACAAATGTTTTTTTTAAATGTTCAGAGTGTTTAACAGACACACAACTGTGCGGTTATTTCACAACAAAATGTAGGTTTTTGGACTGACTTTTATTGTGAAAGTCACACTGGGAAGTCTCCCTGGCAGTGATTTCCGGCAGCTTGTCGCTCCTCTCGGCTGCTAAACAGACGCTCCGACAGGTTCTGGATGTTATTACCGGGGAGAGCTGCTGGACTGAGCGGCAGGACCGTGGCTCCGGTGCAATGACAGCATCCAAAGACCCGACCAAGAAGAAACCGAAAGAGGGGCAACAGGATGAGGTACTGAACCCAAACCCGGACCGAGAGAGAGAAAGAGGGGTATTTATTTGTTTCCTCTCAGCTGGGAGGAGATACATCTGTGCGGACAGGCTTCATCCTCCGGTACAGGGTTGGATGGAGCTCTTAGTGCAGTAAAGGCTGCAACTTATTACAGCTCAGTTTTGATCTTTTTTCATGTTTGCATGTTGATTTAAATGGATAAAAAAGGAGCAATACCACAGGATACAAATACTCTATTACAAGTAAAAAGTCCTGCTGTTAAAATATACTTAAAGAGCCAAAAGTTATGCAGAATATAGCCAATTATAGAGCCAAATATTAGCCTTTATTGCTGAATTAGTGATGCAGTAATTAATTAATTTATTAATTTGTGTGAGCTGGGTTTTTCCATCTGGTTTCTGCTTCAGATGTTGTTGCTGTTTCTGTCTGTGTGAGAACTGAAGCTCTGTAATCTCATATTGTCTGAGGCGAGTTGCGTAACACAGAGGAAGAACTATATAACCGGATTATACTTTTAACTGTATGCTATAATAATATAAGTACATATTTAAAGGAGAGGATGTTTGCACACAAATAATTAACAATGTTGATGTTGTTGCTCAGCTGTTTGACACATTGTGCAGCTTCCATATAGATGGGGTTTAAAATAAGTCAAATAAAGTAGGAGATACAGAAATAGGACAAACAGATCAGTATTAAAAATAGTCCCAAATACTGGAAACAACTCCAGTTCCAGTGGGACACTGGGCTGCCAGGTTTATCTCGGTCCACCAGTCTCAATGTCTGTATTTGGTTTGTTCCTCATTTGTTGGGTGTTAGACGTTCCCGTTGTTGTTGCTTTTCTTTCTCTGTGGCTGTAATTGGTTCAGATGGTGTCACGGCTGTGCTTTTAAGGTGGATATTTGGATGTTTTTGCTCTTTTTTGGGATCTTTTCCGCTTCGTTTCTTTGGACTTTGAGGATGTTTGTTAAAATGTCAGTAGCGTGCAGGCTTCAGCTGCATTTCTCAGCCTTTCTTTGCTAAAAGAAAATGGGTTCAATCCAGTTGTGGAAGAAGGATTCAGACTTTATACTGCGTATTCCAACGCACAAATAGTCCCCTTGGAACAATAATGTTTGTCTAATATCAATGTAATTTCCACATTAAAATCCCTAAAAAAAATAAAAATGAAACAGGTTTAAATGTGGAGTACCTCCCTAATAATGTGTGTTCTTTAATAAGCTTATCATAAGGGTTTTTTGTGTAAAATATTAATATGAAAAGTAACTTATACTTATATCTGTGTGATGTTTATGTAAATGAGGTGAAGTATAAATGTAAAGTACCTGTTAAGTATATTGATCTTGAGCTTTTTCTGAAAAATCGACATCCTTCGTCTCTTCCAGATTCAGTATGTCGATCTTTATTAATTTCTGTCTTTTTCCCTTTAACTCTCGCTTTGTCTCACTCTCAAACACACACACACACACACACACACTTGTAAACACAAACACCGACACACATACTTGATTTCCTCGCTTGCTTTACTTTCCACTGAAGTGAGTCTGATCAACAGACGACTGTTGCAGTGGACTGTGTCTGCAACAGCTCGCTCTCTCTCTCTCACACTCACTCACACACACACACACACACACACACACACAAACACCTAAACAAACAAACACACACACACACACAGAGTAAGCAGAGAATTAGCTCAGAGATGTTGAACTAATACTTGGCAAGCAGTCGATGGCCCAGTGGTGTGCGAAGAATGCTCTTCTCACTGCTGATTGTGTGTGAATGTGTGTGTGTGTGTGTGTGTGTGTGTGAGAGAGAGAGAGCATCAGTTTTTCCTGCTTCATTAATTAAACAGTTTCCAGCTCGTCAACGGTACATGTGATACATACTGTTGTGGACACATTTGTGCCTCTTATCTTCAGCTTCAGATAAATTCATTCAGGAGGGTTTTCTGATTATAGTTCTTCGATTACACTGAAGGCAGAACTACATTGTAGTGAATCTGCTGCATTTTACGGTTGCAGCGGACCGTGTTTAGTTTTCATGAGTGGGGAAATGTACTTAAGTATAAATTCATACATTATTCTGCACAGTGAAGCTCAAACATTCAACTGGTGGAATAAGAAAAAAAAAATTGTGTAAAGGGGACTTAAAGTGTTAAAATTAATTTTTAAGCGTTTTAGTGGTCAAACTCATGGTTTTTAATGTAGTTTGCTAACAATTTGGGTCTTAATTGTGTAGTTTTGGCTGTTATTTCGTTAAGTTATGGTAACGTTGTACTAGATCTGCACGATATAATAGAAAATTACATGTAATATCGAACAATATTGTATCGCGATATTTTATTTCTGATATTGTAATTCTCAAAAACACTATAAATGTTAGTGTTGAAACCCCCAACAGCTGGATAGTAGTGTTGTAAATGTAAACTAAGGGTTTAAAATGTTGGATGTTACAGGGATTGTGATACATAAAACGTATATACACTTTAATACTTCATTATCACACTGTTTTGTCTGTAAAACGACTGACAGAGACCATGTTTTGCAGCCATTGACAAGTAACAGTTACTTGTCAACGGCTGCCAGTTTCTTACAGTGTATGGGTACATTTTGCGACTTTACATACTTTGGTTTTGAAAGCTTTAACTGGTAGTGGAGTATATTCACAGTGTGGTATTAGTACTTGAACCTACTACAAGATTTTAAAGGGTTATAAAACAGTCTCAGTTTAATACTTACGCCTTAATACGCCTCTATATGACCCACACAATCACAAGACCTTTCTATATCATTATTCCTAATGCCTGCCTTGAAATCAGTGACACAAGGTGGTTGATACACTACCACTTTTGTCCACAGGGGTCACCAGAATCAACAAAAAGGATCTGAATACTTAAGTGTCAGTTTGAAGCAGGACAGTTGTCTAAAAGCAAGTGACATATTCAAGGGTTTTCTATGTTTTTGTCTGGTCCAAAGACTAAAGGTCTACAGTAGCCTACGTGTGTCTTGCTCGCCTCTCTCTCTCTCTCTCTGTCTCTCAAAGTTTGACACGAGGAAACAAGTAGTTCTGCTGGAAATGTCAGCATCCAGTCTGACTCGTCGGAGGTCTCACGCTGTCTTCCTTGAGGAAGCTCTCAGTCGTTCTCTCAAGCTTTGAAGAACGGCGAATTCAACACCATGCGACAGCTACCTATTACAGTTCCCTGCTGTGTCGTTGCTGGAAATCGCCCACACCCGTTCTCTGGCCCCATCCTAGGATGTACCAGAAGTCTCCCCCTTGCATCATTTTCTCCTTATTTCTTTCTCATTTTCAAGTCCTGGCTGCAGGTTACTTTCATCATCACAGCCTGAAGTGAGAGTGGAAAGATCAGTCCAGAGAAATGATGTAACGTCTCTGCAGCCGGGTCAGAGAGGCCATCAAATAAAAAGTTTTGGATGTCCAGGAGTCTTTAAGCAAACCTCTGGACTTCTGCCTTTGGTACAGATAAGAGCTTCATCTAAAAGGCTGGAGATTGGAAAATCAAAACCCTTAGATTACATTTTTCACGTCAAGCCCAAGTGTTTTCTTTTCTGCACAAAGAGCTTTACTCTGATGGCTCTTTTGGGCAGGTAATCACCGCTCTGTCTAGACAGGATGAGCGTAAGCTTCATAAGAGTCTGTCTCCTTTTCACTGTCGAGTTATTAGAGGAGCTGGCCTGCAAAATGCAAAATTCAATTCATCTTGTAGTCAGATGCTGGAGATGGTTGCCAGCAGGTCTTTTTGAATCATGGATGAAATAGATTTTGTTCTGTTTTACATCGTCTGTCCTAAAATGGCTGTGTGTTCAAACAATAACAAAAAGTAACAGTTTCAACTAGAAATAGTTCATGTTTCCTTTCAGAAATCAAGTTGGCCTTTATTTTTCTTTCTTTCTTATTGTTTAATATGTTAGTTTGAAAAGAAACTGTTCCCATATTGTTGTGTCAGAGCAGGAGAGAAGACACTGGAATCCAAATCAATCAGCAATATTTGGTTATGATGAAGAGAAGTAATACAAAGTTACAGTAATCTGTCCACAAAGATGAAAAGTACTCTCCAAACTGAAAAGAATAAATAAAGGAAAACGTAAGTCAATGCTTTACATACTTATTGGAGTCAAACCTCATTTATTTCCCCCAAAATTATACAAGCAATACAAGTTTTACACAGTACATCCAGTACATTTCCAAATATTGGTAGAATTCTTCTTAGTAGTCCTTTAGAAATTCAGGAAAATATTAGTTTTTATTACATTTTCATCCTTTATTTAGTCCAAATTAAACAAAAAAAAATTAGAAACAGGACCAAGAGTCTACCGTTATGCTAGTCTTTGTGAGCTAATGCTAACATGCTCACAGTGACAATGCTAAAGGATGATTTATAGTGACCTACATTGTTATGAAAGTGTTGGTATTGGGGTTTCTATGCCACTGTGTTGAGTTTCGTCATTTCTTCAAACAATGGCGACTGAAACTGAAATTCTGCTTCGTCTCTCTCTCGCTTTGTGTTTTCTTCGTTCTAGTATCGAGTTAGTCTGCACACTAACATTTGCTGATGATGTTCAAAGATCTGGTATGGGTGCAACGATGATAAAAATAAGTTGTTTATTTCTGGGTATGTGCAGGAGTTTGTGGACGTCAGCCCACCGCAGAGGAACTGGAAGGGAATCGCCATCTCTCTGCTGGTGATCGTGGTGGTCTGCTCGCTCATCACCATGTCTGTGGTCGTCCTCACACCCGGTATGTGCTGCCGTTTTACTCTCCAGCGTTGTCCTCTGGAGATAAAGCTGTAAGAATAGGCTGTGTTTTGACTGTTTCCCCAGTGGAGATCCCTGACAACAGCAGGTCCAGGCTGACTGTGGCTGATCTGTACAAACCGGAGTTCAGCGTTCACGACCCCGAGGCCGCTTGGATCAGCGGTGAGTACGTGTTCACTTCTCTGAGAGTTTTCATACTAAGGCGAGACATTACAGGCTGTAGTAGACGCATATTTATGACCTTAATTAAGTTATTTAAATACTAAATAATAATAATAAATCTATAATTTATCTGTGTTTTAACGGCAAACGTGATAAAAATTCTAAATGTGTCGGAACGACCAGGAAGGAGACTGAACATTTCGTTGATTCCCCCTATTTCTAGACCAGTATAAATAAAAGTCTTGTCAACTTCAACACCTCAACAAAAACTGTATACCAATAGTGAACGTTAGTAAACTTTACAGAATCAACTCTTCGTTGCAGTCCAGAGCCATGGTTGGAGCCGCTCGTAAAGCACCTGACCTCAGGCTATCCGGTCTCGACGGCTTGTGAACCCGGTATCCCCTTCCTCGCCCGAGCTCTAGGCTTCTGGTGCTCAAAATGCTACCTCCTATGCTAAGCAGTGTAAACCAAACCCTTTCCGGTCTCTTTCTAAGGCTCCCCGATTCTGAGGTAGAATCAGCTTAATAGCGAACGCTACGTAGTAAGTGGGCAGCTAAGTACTGTTGTACAAAAGAGAAAAGGTTTGTATGTAGCCTCAAACTTTTCCGCTGTGTTACCTGTCTGCATTGAGGCAGACACGGAGGTGTTCAGGAGGAGAATCAGGAGGTGAGTACGGTGCGACATTGAGAGGGAAGTGTGATGGTGATGTAACAGGAGAGGAGAACAGTGTGACTTTGAGAAGAAAGTTGCAGGATGACGTTTGTGTGAGAGTTTGAGGGGCCATGTGTGAGTTTCTGCAGGCTGATTTGGTATTTTTATCTTGTAAAAATGAAGCGTATGCGCTTTTCTGTCAGGTTTAGTTTGGGTGGAAGCAGGTGGTCAGGTCTGGCTGCTTTGTCGCCGACAGAAATTTCTCACGGAGAACGACTGCACTTCTTTGGGTACTTCTTTTTTTCAGCTCGAAGCTTGATGCCTTGAATTTTTGAGGAGGCGGAATTTAAAGTCGCCGAAATAAATCTGAACTTGATTCCACCTGATGTATTGGTCCTATTTTTATAAAGTGTAACGTAAAGAGTGTTTCTGTGCTCGTGTGTGTGTCAGAATTTGATTATTCACAGGACCTTTGAGCTCATAATTTCAAGGTTTCAAGTTTTAAACTAATGATAATTAATGATGATTTAAGTTTTTCCTAAAAATAAATTACCTCAAGAAAAGGTATAGGTTAGAATGTTTTTTTTTTTTTTT